GAGTAGTCCATCACTGACAAGGTTCTTTTTAGGCTCACCAAAAGAAGGGAGAGCAAGGGACCAAGGGATCTTCTCAATGGAACCTGAAGGCACCTTTCAGGCCCAGCAAGGGCTTCTTCTCACCAATGCTCAATTAGCTAATACCAGCAGCACAGACCAACACTGAGCCCACAGTATGAAACCATTTCTCAAGGAGACCAGCCAGCCACTCTAGATTGATTACTTTGGTCCCTTCCACAGGGGATGTGTGACTGTGAGGCAGTAATTCATTCTTCCCAGAACTGCTTCAAACACTCAGGAAGTTTCCTTTCCCTATCTACACTTCCCCCACCAGCACCACCATTCAAAAGTTTATAAAGTAGTTATCTACTGAGATGGTATCCCAAACAGTATTGCCTAAAGCCAGGGAACCCATTTTACTACAATGGAGTTGCACATGACTATGAGAACCACTGCTCTCATGGTATCCCTCATCACTCAGAAGCAGGCAGCCAAAGCAGCAGGTAACTTTTTAGCTTTTAGACCATAACTTGGGGAGTTGAGGGTGACAATAGATATTGTTGGTCCCATGAATAGCCTCCATTCTGGTCACCATGAAAGACCCCAGGTAAGACCAGGAGAATTGCCAAGCTGAACCCACCCCAAATTGCTGCCTCATTGTATAATGAACAAATAAAGTGATTATTATTTTAGACTATCATGTTTTGAAATGGTTCGTTACATGACAATAGATTACTGATACAACAGGCAAGATCAAAAACATCTGAAATGGTACATAAGATGTGTCTGACATAGATAAAGAGAATACACACTAAATTCTGTCACATTATACAGAAATCTTCCAGGCTGTCTTCCACAGGGCTTACCAAGAAGTGGCAAAACCAGTTCTATGACTTATCACTTAAACACGTCCTCTAGCCTAAGTAGGGGAGGGGAGGGGGGATAGTAGAGGATAGGAAAGGTAGCAGAATACAACAGTTACTAATAGGGCATTATGTAAAACTGTGGATGTGTAACCGATGTGATTCTGCAATCTGTATTTGGGGTAAAATTGGGAGTTCATAACCAACTTGAATCTAATGTATGAAATATGATATGTCAAGAGCTTTGTAATGTTTTGAACAACCAATAAAAAAAGAGAGAAAAAAAGAGAAAATACTACAAGGGAGATGTTTATTAGTTACCTCTGAGAGAGTGTTGGAGACTTTCTTTCCCAGTGGGGAAGGGGAAGCTAAGCAAGGGGGGCTCAGAGGTGTCTTCAAGATGTATTTCTCTCTAGTTGCTTGATTACTTAACTGTAGTGATCTATAAGTAGAATTGGAGAATTTTAGGAAAAAACTTGCCATGTATCTTTGGAGTTTGGAAGCCTGTATCAACATAGACACTGCTGCATACCTCTTGGAATTCTGAAGGAAGGAAGCTTGCTGAAGCAGCAGTGACATGTCTGTTCACCATGGCAAGACCACATAGGTTTCCCATGGATCCAATGAGTGTTACAGAAGGGGAAAAAAAGCTTAAGCCCTGTGCTTGCTTCCTGTCTGAGGCTCTGTCATTGGGTGAGGGAAACCTGGGGGTAAGATGCTATGGGTATTCTACAAGATTTGGGGTCTGAGAATAAGTTAGAAAAGATTCAGTCATGTCTAATAACTGAGCAGCGAAGAGATTCCTGAACAATCATGCTTATGAGTAAGCATTTGGATGCCAGTCACATACAAGCTACTGACAACCAAGAGAGGATGTATTGACATATTGAAAAGTAAAAGAGACTAGGTGCTAAGGAGAGAGAGGCCAGACAGAGGACTTCTCTCCTGGGACATGCTGATGAATCTTCCCAATGTGAGCATGAGTAGAAACCAAAAAAATAAATAAATAAATCAAGAGAGAAAGAGCTAATTTTAAACATCTGCCATGTCCACAGGGAACAAAGCTGTCTTGACAGTATCAGTAAAGCAATACTTTGGCCAGCTCAATTTCTACCCTCTTCACCCCTAGAGAAGAAGCTATGGTTATCAAGATAGGGGAGGTGAAGTAGAAGACTAAAGAAGAGAAAGGGAAAGGTTCCCCATGCTTCCTTGATTTCAAACTTCTCACTAGGGGGTTCCAACTGGAAGAGAAGACAAGATACAACTTTAAATCAAGTTCTAATTATGGGGTTGCTGTTTGTCCCCACCCCCATGATCTTTTTTCCAAGGTCATGGGATTTTTTTTTTTTTTTTGCTAGGTATGAGGTACCTTAGAATGAGACCACATTTCCAAAGTCTCTCCTGTGGGTGAATGCAATGATGTGATTAAGTTTGGGTGAAGGGATTGCGAACATGTGATGTTAACTTCTGGGTCATGCCCTTGAAGGAAATGGGTACATCCTTCCTGATGACTGGAATGTGATAAGGTACTGAGCCATTCTGGACCATGTAGACTAGGACAATACTCTAGGGATGGTGAATCAAGAAGACAGAAGGAGACTAACCTCAGCTTACTGTGTGGAACAGAGCTTCTATATTAGTACACATTTGCTATGTAATAAGCAAAAGTCCCAGTGCTATCCAATAACAAGTGTTTATTTCTCATTCATGGATTGGTAAGTTGGCTGGGGCTGCCCTGATTGGCATGACTCTGATCTTAAAAGTTTTCAACAAATATTTTAGCACAATGGTCTTCACTATGTGGGGTGTGACAGGAGTGAATGGCCCCCTTTCTGACCGCATTCAGCTTCCCCAGGGAATGACTCTCTTGATGATGGAGCTTCTCTGCTTCAAGATGCAGACCAAGTTCAGCTCTAGCCCATGTGTCTGATTCTCATCCCCAGGCTGAAGAGAGATTTGAAGCTCTTAGAGGGAGAGGTACACATCTTCCCATAGTGAAGTTGGATCTGGTTTGCAGTTTCCCCACTTTCAACTCCTGTTTGAGACATCATTACAAGTGGATGCTGCTTTCTCCTCAGTGGTCTGAGTTTTTCTTCCACAAAGCCCTTCTCTAAACATCTAAATTGTAATATTCCCAACATCTTCCTTTTGTCCCTCTCACTTTAGACATCATGGCTGCTTCCTGCAGTTGTCATCACGTGATACATTGAATTCTGTGGCATTTTCAGTTGCTGAATAATCAAATCTTTATATTAATTATGTTAAAATAATTAGGGTGGTTTGTTTCTTGACATTACTTTGACCAATTCATTGGACTAAAATCCTGTGCCTGTGAGATGCCCCTCAAAAACTTTTGCATTGAGGTATTGTCATGGCATCCTCCCTCTATATCTGTCACTCCTCTCTGTATTCATTTCTATGAGAATTTACTGTGGTAAACTATCATCACTGTTGTCTTTCTTCTCCATTCCAAGCCAACAGCTCTCCAAGTTCAGAGTATATTAATTCTTCAGTTCCTAACACAAAAAACTCTGAACACATGCTTGAATAAATGAATGAGCTAGCAAAAATAAAGCAGGAAAAGGAGTTATGTAGCACAAAAATGAAAGAGAAAGTTAGATGATGTGAGAAACAGGAGGCCCGTTGCTGCCAGCTGTGAATCCAGCTTTAAGTTCACAGGAAGCTCTTGTTAAATAACATGAACCAAGAACAAGATGAAGAGGCTCCTGAGATTTCAAAGAAATTTCTCACAACGAGAATAGGGAAGAGCAAAGGGCTGGAGTATTCCAGGGGACGCAGAAGTGTGTTGGACATTTGAGCTTCTGAAGGATGACCAAGCCCTAAGAGATGCCTCTCACTATGTCACCTGGTCCTGCCAAGCCCTTCACCAGGTTTCACTCCCAGTCCCTCCGCCGCCCGCCTCTAGAGAAAACAGGTAAAACCCGGAGAACTGGGTCCCGCCCTACGGTCATTCTGGGCATGCGCTATCCCACGCTCCTGCGCAGGCGCACTAACTTCCCCCTTGTAACCGGTGCTGCCCATTTCCGATATGGGGGAGCGTTTGCTCTGGCTAATTTATCACCTTTCCTGTGGTCCCCCGCCCTATGGTTCCTGTGGGGTAAGCCTCGCGAGATTGCCTACGGCAGTCCCCGGCGGCGCCATCTTTGTGCCTGGCGAGCGACGACTCCCGACGGAAGCCCTGAAGCCAGCGGCTCGCCTGCCAAGCTATCGCGGAGACCGGATCCAGGAAATACTAGGCGGGCCTCGGTGGGAGGGACGCACTGAAGGAGGAGGGAGGGAAGGGGGCGGCGGCGGCGGCGGCGGCGGCGGCTCACACCGGATCCGGGCTCTGCGCGGCGCGCACCCGAGGGGGTTCGGGCGCGGAAACGGCTCCGGCCCGGACCCCCCCTGCGGGAGCAGACGACGGGCGTGAGGGCGAGGCGGCGGCTGCGAACGAGGAGCTGCGGTCGCTGGGTGAGTGTCCGCGAGGAGGCCCGGCACCTGCCGATGCCAGGGCGTCGATGGTGCCTTGGGGTCGTCCTGGTGATCTCGCGCCTAGGACGGTGGGCGTGTGCGCGACTGCGGGTATCCTGCGAGCTCGGCTTGGCCTGGAGCTGAGGCTGCCACTGGGAACTGCAGGGCTGCCGGAGGTCTGCGCAGGGCCTGGCGCGTCCGTGCCCGCCCGGGACACCCCGAGAGGCGAGAGGCGGAGGGGAGAGGGAGTGGCCGGTGGGGGGGGGGGCTTGATTGGCTTTCGTCCCCGGAGTGAGGGGATGATGTCCTCCTTCGCGGGTTCCTACCTCTGCACCGGTTTGACACCCTGGCAATGTATTTGGTGATGAGGACTAGCAGCACATAAGGTTAGGTCTGTTGAGTGTGTTGAGACATGTGGAAAAGGTTAGTAGTAATAGTAATAATTGTTAGCAAGTGTCGAGTAAAGAGAAAACATTGTCTGCGTTCATTTAAAGATCACATAAGCAGTACTCTGAGGTCCAGCAACAGACTAGAATTATCCCAGTTGGACTTCTTTAGTTTAGTACCGTGTGCCTGCCTATAAAGTGCATAAAAGCAGGATGGGGGGGTGCGGATGAGATGGGGACAAGGTGAGGAATAAACTGCATGAAAATCAAAAGTTGGTATTGTTGATGTGTTAAAATATAAAGCATTTTCTGTCTTTACGAAACATTAAATTCTTTAAAAAATTAGCTACCTTTGGTCGAGACAGAGCTTTTCAATTTGGTGTGTTCTTTATTGACGTTTGTCTATCAGACAGTAATTTTGGTGTATTATATATTTACTTATGGTTTGTAAAAGGATAGGAATGAGTGGGATAAAAGAACAGTTTGACAACTGAGCTCCCTATACCCACTTTTATTTTGGAAAGATAGGAGAGTTTACAGAAAGTAAACTCTTTGCTTTTGTACTGATTTGCAATAGTAAACAAGAGCATGTGTAAGAAAAAACATTTTTTGATGAAGAAAGGGCTTTTGAGATGAGAGTTTAATTTTGCAGTGTTAAATTATTAAAAGGCATCACCAACCATGGTACATTTTGTCACTTTGTCTTTTTATGAACACTGGAAGAATGCAAACATATACCCATAATTTTAAGCCCACGTGTGATAGAATTTTTTTACAACTTTAGATCCCCTCACCCCATTAGCATACTTGGCTCAGTCAAGGGAAAATTAAACTTCAGTGAAGGTAAATATTAAATATGATTTTCATCTTGACAGCTAACAGAACATTACCTGTGTTCACTCACCCTGAATTTTCTTCCTTATGTTTATTTGATACATTCTTCTCCTTAATTATAGACCATTCTATAGTTTGTGCTGGAGCTAACACAGAGTATGTTCAGGCACTGGGCTTAGTGTGTAATGTGCATTTGCATTAATCCTTGAAGCTACCCTATGTAAAGATAATCTTATACATGTTGCACAGATATAGACAATAACCTCCAGTATCCTGTAACTTACGTGGGTAGTTAAGGAGATCATATAGCTGGTAAATTGCAGAACTAGAACTCAAACTAATTCTAGAACATATGCTCTATCATATTCTGCATAAGTTTATGTGCTGACTAATACAAATTTTATGAAAATGGGAATTTTTATTACAAAGAAACCTTTCAGTTCTGTTGGTAATCTTGAAAGCTTTCAGTGTCCTTGACTCAATATAATCTTAAGGTTCTTTTTTTTTTTTTCCTTTTCAAATGTGTTCGTTTTCTACCCAGAGGTAATATTTGGGCAAAATTTCAGAATTTTGTTGATCTGTAAAAGATTCCTAATAACTCATAGTGACCTATCTGGAATTCAGATGTTTTCAGTAACTTTTCCTCCTATTTCAGCATGCCAAAATACTGCAAAGATCAGATATTTTCTACTCGGGAGGCCAAGGTAAGAGGATTGCAAGTTTGAGACCAGCCAGGCCAACTTAGCAAGACCCTATCTCAAAAAATAAAAAAGTGTTAGAGATGTAGCTCAATGGCAGATCACCCCTGTGTTCAATCCCCAGTACCCACACCCACACAAAAGATATTTTATTTGTTCTGATCCTTTACATTATTAAAATAGTAACTATTCATAGGGTTTTGGATTTGTTTTCTGGCACATTGGAGGTATATGCATACACCCTTACCATCTCTAGCAATTAGAGTACTTGGTAGCCTACCCTGTTTTTCTTCCCTTTAATTTAGTACAAAGGTTTTGGACTCAGGTCATGGTTTGTAGAAAATACGGCAGTTATTATGGGAAACAGCATAATCTCTTATGGGGATGGCAATGAAAAACTTTAGAGGTTCCCAGCAGTATCTGAGACGTTGATGAAAGCAGAAACATTGTGGGGGGTGTCACTTTTGTCTCCCACTGGTCTCTGCTGTTGCATCTCTGATGTGCTGTTGAGCCCTGTCGTCCTGGCCCTTATCTCTGCAAGAGAGAGGCCCTACATCTGGGTATCTGGGTAGAGTTCAACTGGAACAACAACTGTAGGAAAATAAAGGTATTAAGTGGCCCTCATCTCTAAAAGGTCATTTGGTCAGTTTTACCTGTGTGATTATCTCTGGCAGGAATTTCTAGAAAAGTTACGCAATTTGGGATTTGCTACTTCATCTTTTAAGAAGTAAATTGTTTGGTTGCCTTTAATGAGATAGTCATGTCTTCTAGAAATGGAAAAAGAAATCTTGTGTTTTTCAGTACATAGCAGCATACATGTGTGTTACACAGAGTGTTGGAGTGGATTTTTAAATAATACCTTGGAGTCTTGACAGGCAGTCTCTTAGTCTGAATGAGCAAGTTTTTAATTATAGTTGTACTTCCAAGAATGAAGTTAAATGTAGTTCAGTGTGGTGGCACATGCCTGTAATCCCAGCAACTGGGGAGGCTGAGGCAGGAGAATTGCAAGTTCAAGGCCACTGGCCAATGAAGTAAGACCCTACCTCAAAATAAAAAGTAGGGCATGTTGCTCAGTGGTAGAGCACCCCAGGTTCAATCTCCAGTACCAAAAAAAAAAAAAAGAGTACTTCTTTACTTGTGACAGTAATGACTCATGTTATTTGGGCTACGAGGGTGAAAAAATTGACAAGTGATAATGTAACTGAGAGCTTACCAAGTAAGAAAACCTTCCTGAAATGATTTATATTGTCACTATATAAAGAAAGACACCAGAAAATTGCCTCATGTATTTAGAAGTTTATTTTAATACTTTCTGCATAATAAAACCTCAAATTATTACCAGGGACACAGATATTTGTCTAATAGTGAAGTGGACCTGATGAAATATTTGTAACTGTCAAACTGAATCCTGAATATTTAAGAACATTTATTACAGTATAATTCATTGACAGGTCTATTATTTTATTTTTCCAATTCTCCAAATTCCCACTTCCCTCCCTACCTAAAATTTCTCATCTTATTTTCCTCCCTGTCTTCCTGCCTGCCTTTCTGACTGCCTCCATCCCTCCTTTCTTTCCTTTCTTTCTCTCTTTCTTTTTTTCTCTCTCTCTCTCCCTCCCTCCCTCCCTCCCTTCCGTGGTACCAGGTCCTTCCCCTTAGTTCTCTGAAGTGAATGAGAATAACCCAGGCCAGGGAGGTAGTGTCAAGACACCTACTTCGGGTTTTCTTCTTCCCTTTCCTTAAGCATTAAGGAGGAAAGTTTGTAAAAAAAAAAAAAAAAACAAAAAAAAAAACCTTGTGTTGCAGGAGCAGGCACTGTTCCCTCATCCTCTTCACCAGCCACCCCACTGTCATACTTTTTCCTCTTTCTTTTCAGCTTGATACTTCTCTTCTAAGTGTCTTGCCTTCCCAGTTCTGAGTCTTCTACTCTAGCTCTACTTTTTGTCCGCATTCATGCCTTACTTCCTGCTCTCCCTTGATCAGAGAGGCTGAGGCTGTGGTCCTAGAGAAGCTCAGATTCCCAGTTTGGGCTGGGAAGATTTCCTTTTTCTACTTTCAGGACTGAATGGGGCAGGGGTAGTTGCTTTTATCTGAAGTTGGAATGTTAAATGGGTTTTCCCATAGAAACATTGCTCGCACAGGTTAAATATTTTGTTATTCTCCTGTAACCTTGGTCAAGCTTTTGTGGGGTAGCTTGGAAACCTAGCACATTGACCATTGTTTCCAGAAAGCTGAGATCTGAGGTTCAAATAGATGATTTAAAAAATCAGCTTGTCACCAATCAAAAATAAATGAATGAAAGGAAGATCAGAGGAGGAATAGAGAAAGGGATGAGAAGAGTGAAAGTGGGGGAATTGAGACTGAAATGGAGTAAATAAAATTCCATATATCAAAATGAACCCAACTACTATGTATAATTATAATGCTCTAATAAAGAAATAAATATAAAAAATCAACTTGAGTCCCAGAAGTCACTGGAGATTGTCAGCATTTTGTGAATTACCTAGTGAGGTGGTAGGTATCATACCTTTAGCTATTCAAAATTAGGTTTGTTTTTCTAATGTACTGGCTCTTCTGGGAAATAATCTGATAGGCTTATTAGATTGTCAAAAAAGAATTTCTGAATTTAGGTACATGTTTGGAAATAAAATTTAAATTCAGTCCATTTCAGTTTGTTGTTAAAGAAGATCTTACAGTATTGTTGACAGTACAGAGTTTTAGTTTGTCATGAAAGGAATATCTTGTTCCTTTCTTGCTGATGTTTTGAAACTTTTCAAAGGTATTGGACCTCATGAAGCTATTTTACCCTAGTTTACTTAGTGGTAAATATGGACAGTATGTTTGTTTTACCTGAAGATTTTAAAATAAAGTTTTATTAGTCTGTTGGAGTTACATAATGTTACCATTATTTGTAGTGTTCAAACAATTAAGTGAAAGATTTCAAAGTGATAAAAGCAAAGCCAAAGCATTTTATATTTGTTCTGCATAAAATGTGTTTAATCTTAGGTTGGTTGAAGGAAATATTCCTAATAAAAGGCAAGATGGATCTTTTTTAGTTTTTGTTCTCCAAACCACTCTTTGGTTTGAAAAAATGAATTTGAGTAAGACCCTCTGTTAATTTTAAGAGTTTACAAAATTCTTATAATTATACAGAGTATGGTGGTTAAAAAACATGATCTCTAGGGAGTGAATGTTCAAATATTGCGATCTTCTGACACTAGCTAGCTCTGTGTTCTTGGGCAAATTGCTTAATCTCTGACCTGTTTCCTCATTTTTTGAAATGGGGATAATGTGGTATCTACCTCTTGTAAGGATTAAATGAGCCAAAGGATGCATTGTATTTAAAACATGCCTAGCAATGGTATCTGCTCAAAAAGAGTTAATTCTTGTTGTTATTACTTTGTCATCATCATGACTACTGTTACTACTTTAGCTACCTTCTGAGATGACACCCTTCTATTCTTGGGCAGCAGGTAGCTGTGAAAAATGTATGTTTGCTCAATAGTAGTTTTTTAAAGCAGTTTATTGAGGGGACCAGGAAGACCAATATATTAACTGCTAGATACATCCACAATTGGCCGTAGTGTAGGAAATCCATAGAATAGTAAGCTATTTTTTTTCTGTAGCTCCATTCCCATCATGTTAAGTATAAAGAGCTATGCTTCTTTGATGTATGAGCAAAACTGGATTGAGTAACTGCAGTCAGTGCCTTTATTAAAATTTAATGATCTTGGCATCTATAAGGCTGTGTAGAGGAGCTTCAATTTCTAAACGGTCTATAAAGACTTTCTTTTTTCATTTTATTTTGAAATCAGCACCATTTTCCCACAGAAAAAAAATGTCACATATGGTGTTCAGATTCTCAGGCCAACCCAACATATCTGAATTTGAATATAGATAGTACTATAAAAATTAACTTCTGTATATAACAGTGTCTCGTCCTATACTAAAAGATTATGAACACAGTCTTGTAGATGGGGCAGTTGGGTCGTCTTCCTCCATGGTCCTTCTAAGGTTCCCCCCCCCCAACTTGGGAAGAGAGTTTTTTCTAGGGAAGGCTGAGAATAGGGTGAATAATGGGGGCTGGTTTTTAGAAGGCAGGGACTTTTTCCTGGATAGGCTTCTTAAAAGGCTAAACTGCATACAGTGGTTAAGAGCGTGGACTGTCTGCCCAGAATGCTTGCTTTCTAGTCTCTGTTCCATTACTTATAGAACTTCTCATCTGTAAAATGGAGATTAAAAAGTAGGGTCCTCCCAGTAGGGTTCTTGGAAGGATTAAATGTGTTAATATACGTGAAGCAAGTGAAGCAGCCCCTGACCAGTAGATGAGTACATAAGAAATGTGTTTTTATTAAGCTTTATGGTTTTAGAACCTCTAGAATACCCTTGTTACTTGGCTGTCCACTGCCTACATCTGTTCTTGAATAGGAATTTTTTTCTTCATTTTCCATGGAGGAATGATATCAGACTTTTCATTATTGGTAAAATGGTGGGGTTTTTTAATGCTTTTGGGGGGTTTTATAATGGTGGAGAAATAGATAGCATTTGTAGTTCTTTCTGTGAATTCACTGTAGCTCCCATTTAGGCCTTAGATAAATTGAAGATACATAATGACTATGGACATTTGATTGGGTCCGAATTAGATATAAATTTCTCAACCTAAGGTAGTTTTTTTGCTAAGTCATTTCTTTCTTTTCTTTTTCCTTTTTGCTTACTGTAGATAAACTCGGGACCTTATGTATGTTAGACAAGCACTCTACCAATGATCTACATTAGTGTCCCCCCACCTCTGTGTTTGTGTGTGTGTTTGTGTGTGTGTGTGTGTTTGTGTGTGTGTGTGTGTGTGTGTGTTTAATTTCTGACAAGGTCTTGCTAAGTTGCCCAGGCTGGCCTCATGCTTGTGATCTTTCTGCCTCAGCCTCCCAAGTAGCTAAGATTATGAGCATGTGCTACCATGCCTGGCTTATTCATTTCTTTTTAAATACATTTTATTACTTTGGAATAAT